TGAGGCTACCAAACCGAGCTAAAACATGACACCACCTTCTAACTTGATTTCACAAAATAAATTGTCAAACATGGCATTGTCTAGCTGTCAACATACTTGAAAATATTCTAAGTCTTTGAGCTGAACTTGATTCCAAGTTGCATTTCTAGACTATTAGAAATATTAGCTAGTAAGGTTATTTTTCAACAGCAAGTATTTCATTGTCATCTACAAAGTTCATATTCCAAACTTTATTTAAGCGCCACATATATGTTTTATAGCATTTTTATTCAATAAAAATTGATTTTCAACCCTACTTGATATACATGAATTATGGAGTAGCTTTTCATTTAACATTTTTATTGATCATTTTAGGTTACAAGAAATTGATCTATATATTTTATCACATGCTTTATCACATAAACATGATGATCATGACATGTTTTAATAATTTGTTTAGGGCGTAACACTGATGGTGTTACAACACATCACTTACGATTGAACGGAAAACTATATTAGCTAAAAATCCATGCTAAGTAGTTGGAAACTTAACCACGGTGGGTAGGTTTCACCACGGGAAACTAGGGGCGTGTTTGGATGGGTGCACGCAACTGGCCTGCACGAGCAGATGCGTATAAACTTTGGAAGAAGTGTGTTTGGATGGATGGTTCCACCGTAGCTGCTTGCATCCACTCTGCATTTACATCCCCAGATGTTGCATCCACTCATACGACCATTTGAGCTTCACTACCGAGGTAGATCCAGTGGATGCAGGGTCTATGCGTCAGTCACATGGGCCAAACAGATTGCATCCGCTCATGTAGGCAACTAAACAACATCTCAATCTTTTTTGCATCTGCTCATGCAACTTCACCAAACACTATATTTTCAAAAAATATGGTTCCACTCAGCCGCATCCCCTCTAGCCATGTTATGCAACCTTCATCTGACAACGTAACACACCCTAGACCAATACAAGTAAGCGCCACTTGATTCGCAAAGTTTTTGCACCCCCCACCCCCGTATTTTCTTTGTATTGTGGCAATAAGATGTTTCTCTTCTTGATGGTAAATGAACATATACCATTATACAAAATGACCACATTCGCCGTTTTCCTAACAAAACAAATATCCACTTTCCAAGGACCTTTATGCCCTGTTTAGCTAGAAATCCGTGCAACACGTACAATACATACCGTTCGCTTGAACTTATCACCTGGCTTATCAAATAGCTTCAGCCGGCTTATCAGCCGGTTTTAATACCAGCCGAACAGGCCTACGGTGACAACAGAGAAGGGATCCTATGCCCTAGAATTCTGGTATTTCTTGTAATATACTAGCGACATATTCTAGGACAGATGCATCATGCATGCATGGGGCCGGGGCAAAACGGAGAAAGGAGGAAGAGGGGACAAATGGGAAATCAAGCGGGTGATGGCGCGAATTGAAGGAAGGAAGCAACTGCCCACCCACCCTAACAGAGACGTTTGCTAGCACTCGCACTGGCAGCGTGATATCTAGTAATGGCGCCACCCGCTCCCATTCCCATTCTCTCAAGCGGCTCCATGCAAGCATTTCACACGTCGGCAGAAATATGTCGCAAGGTGAAAAGGGCTGCAAAATCTATTTTTTCAACTAACAATAACAAATTGCAGTAACTTTAGTTTCTTCTCCTGGTGAAAAGGTAACTTATCAGCCTGGCTTATTAGTTATACAGCTTTTTTTTCTCACAACAAATTAGCGAATAGTACTTTTTTTTTACTGACTTTTCAGTAAGGCGAACAGGGCCGATATGAATTCTTGGATGAACAGATCGAAGCCAGCTTATGCTACATACAAATTTTAAGAAAGGACATCACCAACCGTGCAAAGCTAAATCTTACCTTTCTTTTACTTCTCAATCTTTTTCGAACTTTTGACCGCTATAGATGTGAACATTGTATGTGCTCTTGTCCGTGGAAATAAAAGATATTGCATGCCGGAATTGATGTGAAAAAACATGTTTATTTGAAGGGAAAGGTTTATGTAATCCCATTTTATACTTTTTTTCTTGTCCTGAATCAAAAAATCGAATCGAGATCCCTAAAAGAATTCTATAATCCTTCTATGAAATTCCTGAGTTCCAAACGAGTCCGTCCATGAACCGTTAAGCATGCAGAAACCCCCCAATGCAGAGCATAACAATGAGACCAAACATTAGTGCATCTCAATGTATTGTTGAAACAAAAAAAAAACATCTTGTTATCTCTCCATATTTATTTGCTCTCGGATTCTCAGTTCATTTAAAATATAAAAAAGTAAAAGGCTTTTATGTGCTCCCAGTCCGAGCATGCACCACCCCCACGTCCCCGGTCCTTCTGCTGTGCACACAGCACACGCGCATACATTGCAAGAGAAAGCTAGCAGCAAGGAATCCATTCCAGTTCACAGAAGTTGCGTGCTACATGACAAGCACATGAGTGCTATTATTCTACTGTCAAACCATGATGCTTTTAGGTTTTAGCCTCCGGGGAAGCTTTGCAAACACCATCATCAGGCTACCTTGTCAGCTCCATTAGCATCCACTGCTATGCGCTACCACCGTCACTGTACCATCAGCTTTGTCTCACTCACATAGTCACATGAATTGCCTCTGGATTCTTTCCAATAGGACATTTGGTTCTATATATACTGTAGGGTCCAATTAGGGGGGACGTATGGTGGTTGGAAAAATCCAGCAATTATTTATTGTCTGATGGATACAGTCAGTGTGTGGGCACCAAGGTCTAACAAACATCCAAGTCAATGTGGGAACACACCACACATGCTCTGCAGATTCAAAAGTTTTATTTCATAGGGATTCCGATCATCCATGATTTTTTTAAAAAAAAAATTGTTTCACAGGGCAAATCTGTTATCTACATGTCTCTGTTATCAAATTTTACAGTGTATTTGTATGTATCTACCTAATAGTTGTGTTCTTTTGGATGTTTTTTGCCTGTGAAGTAAAAGGGTTGGTTGGTGCATGTTTGCCAATTGCCACCTAAGTGAAAGTGATGCCCCCCCAATGTCTTCTTAGCTTTGTGTAAAGCAAACCGGTGGAACAGACGCAGGGACAAAAAAAAATGAAACTAGTCAAATCAAAGGAATTAAAGCTACTGACGGCCTGTTCGTTGGTTGGTTTGCTTCTGATTCGATAAGTTCTATTTGGTCTTTGGTTTGTGGTGAGAGAAAAAATCATTGTTGGGCTGATAAGTTCTCCTACATTTGAAACCAACGAAATGAGCAATTTGAGAGAAGTAGCCCTACCAGTGTGGAACAATTTTGACATGAAGATCTGGCTGATGTAAAATTTCAAGCTATTCGGCCACCCTAGCACCAAAACTTTCAATTTTTCAGGCAACCTGATCAATTGACATTTATAGTTTTTCTAAAACTCTTTTTTTCAGGTGGGCACGAAATGAAACAGTGCCCATTCTGAATCTTCTCTGTGTCCCTATTGAAAGCTGGGATAGTCGATCAAATCAGATGCTCTATGTTCAGAACACTAGATAAACTATTCAAATGATTGAAGAAACCACTCTAGCTAAGATCCCAGGGTGGTCAGATGTTGTCATTCCACCGACTCAATTTTATATTCCCACTGATTGTACTGAAAATCATTTCTTTTATGAAAAAGAATGAAATTGCACTGAAAACATTTCTAATAATAAGTAGAAAAAGGTTGCACTGAAAAGTGAAAACGTTAACCTACCAGAAAACAACATGCTGTTACACCCTACCTTTACCAAATCCTCAGACTGAAGCAGAGGGAAAGCACATATACATGGAAAAGAATTACTAAACCTACAAAAAAAAAATCAACCATTTCCCTGCCTGGTTCCTGCACTGAACTTTTGTATGATAGGGGAGGAAAAGATAGCCCTGGGCTCACGTCTCCTTGTCCTTTTGCCAACCTCCGTCTTCCAGCTCAATCCTTGTCGCTTTTTCCTCATGCATCAAGCCAGCTAGCCCGTGATACTCAGCGACAGTAGAGTAGTAGCCGAAACACTGCGCATACGATTCCTTCCCTCGGCCTCCCTCCCCCACAAAACCCAAGGGAAAAATAATATGAACTGTAGATGCTGCAGTGCTAGCTCCATTCAGAGAAAGAGAGAGAGCTCAGTTCATCAGTTGCATTGCATTCATCTGCTGCACATGCTCTCCCAGTCCCCTGCATTGCAAGCTGGCCTCTGCGTTTCATCAGCACTGACAGTGAGTGCTGTGCTGCTCCAGTAGCTGTAACTGTAAGGTAACTGACGCTCCTGAACTTCTGTTTTTTTGGAATTACTACTACTAGTATTCAGTATTGAGTTAAAAACGGTAATTAGTAGTAGGTAACAGTGCTAGCAATAATCTTGCTGCTGAGGCGATGCTTTGGTTTAACCTGACGATGCAATTGCCTGTGCTGTGCAGCCCTGTTTTTTGATTGCCAGTTCCTGAAGAAAGGGAGCAAATCTGGTGTGGTGAGGTTCCTGCAGGGGGAGGAAGAGGCATAGCATCCAGTGCTTGTTTGCCAGGGGGTGAAAAGAACTGGTGGTCTACCACTCAGATCCATTCCCTGTGCAGGATTGGACATTTCTTTTCTTTCTGGTCGCCAGTAGCTATCTCCAATAACAACTGTGAGTTCCCAGTTCGTTGCTGCCTTCATTTTGCTGGCTCCCTGCATTCAGAGCTCAGACGACAGATTTTTTTTTTTTTTGAGGGAAACAGACGACAGAAATCTTTTCCTATCTAGATGTGTTCTTGATTAACAAGGCTGGAGATTGATTGCTGGTCTCATTCTCTTCGATTCCAGCTTTAGATCGAAAAAAATCTTTCGCCATTTCTGATCATTTGCTCATCATTTCCGCGCTTGCTGTCCTCCATCAAGCTGCTGTCATCGGTTGCGCAGTAGTAGAAAGCTGGCAATCATCAACGAATCATCAGAAGATTTCCAAGAAAGAAGAGGAGACGAATTCTTTGTGGCAAGCTAGAGCTAGCAAGCGTAAGTAAGGTCCAAGAATGGCTCGAGGAAGCTGCAGGCATCCTCTGCTCGTCTTGCTGCCGCCATTGCTGCTGCTGCTGCTAGCAATGGTGCCTGGGTCCACGCAGCTGCAGTCGTCGCAGACATGGTCGCTGCTCAAGATCCAGCAGTTGCTCAACTACCCGCCGGTGCTCCGCACCTGGGGCAACAGCACCGACTTCTGCTACGGCGGGGACTACAAGACCTCCTCCGCCTTCGTCGAGTGCTACGGCGACAGCGTGACGCAGCTCCACATCATGGGTCCCGGCGGCGGCCCGCTGCCCAAGACGTTCAGCGTCGACGCCTTCTTCACGACGCTGACGAGGCTTCCCGACCTCCGGGTGCTGACGCTCACCGGCCTCGGCCTCTGGGGCCCGCTGCCGGGGAAGGTGTCGCGGCTGGCGTCGCTGGAGATCGTCAACGTCAGCGGCAACTACCTCTACGGCCACCTCCCGGAGGGCCTGTCCCGGCTCGGCAGCCTCCAGACGTTCATCGCCGACGACAACATGCTCTCCGGCGAGCTCCCGGGGTGGCTCGGGAAGCTGCCGTCGCTGGCGGTGCTCAGCCTCCGGAACAACTCGCTGCAGGGAGCGCTGCCGGAGTCCGTCCGGGACATGGGCTCGCTGCGGTCGCTGACGCTCGCGTGCAACAACCTCTCCGGCGCGGTGCCGGACCTGAGCGCGCTGACGAACCTCCAGGTGGTGGACCTCGCCAACAACTCGCTGGGGCCAGCGTTCCCGCGGCTCGGGCGGAAGGTGGCCAGCGTCGTGCTCAGCGGCAACCGCTTCGGCAACGGGCTCCCCGCCGAGGAGGTCGCCTCGTTCTACCTCCTCGAGCGCCTCGACGTGTCGAGGAACCGGTTCGTCAGCCCGTTCCCACCCGCGCTGCTCGCGCTGCCGTCCATCGAGTACCTCAGCGTCGCCGGGAACCGCCTCACGGGCCTGCTCGCCGCCAACATGTCCTGCGGCGAGAACCTCCGGTTCGTGGACGTGTCGTCCAACCTCCTCACGGGGACGCTCCCGTCGTGCCTGACGACGCGAGCCGCCGCCGGTAGCGGCGCGGGCAAGAACAACAATAACGACGAGTCCTCCTCCAAGGTGACACTCCTGGCGGCGTCCAACTGCCTGTCCGGCACTAGCGCCGCCGGCACGCAGCACCCGGCCCTGTTTTGCCAGAACCAGGCGCTGGCGGTGGGCATCGTGCCCGTCCAGGCGCGCGGCGGCGGCAAGGCCAAGGCCAAGGCCGGGATCGTGGCCAGCTCCGTGGCGGCCGCGCTCGCCATCGCGGCGCTCGCCGGCGTGGCCGCGTTCCTCGCGGCGCGGAAAGCGGCCGTGCGGCGCGCCAAGGCCCGTCCCCCGCGGCGTCTAGTGGAGCACGCCGCGTCGTCCATGTCCATGTCCATCAGCGGCGCGTACCCGTCGCAGCTGTTCGCCGACGCGCGGTACATCTCGCAGACGGTGAAGCTGCAGGGCGCGCTGGGCATCCCGGCGTACCGAAGCTTCTCGCTGGTGGAGCTGGAGGCGGCCACCAACAACTTCGAGGTGTCGCGGCTGATGGGGCAGGACGCGCACGGGCAGATGTACCGCGGCACGCTCAGCAACGGCACGGCGGTGACGATCCGGTCGCTGCGGGTGGCGCGGCGGGGGTCGCAGGCGGCGGCGTTCAACCGGCACGTGGAGATGATCTCCAGGCTGCGGCACCGGCACCTGGTGAGCGCGCTGGGACACTGCTTCGAGTACAACCTCGACGACGCCACCGTCACGCAGCTCTACCTCGTGTTCGAGTACGTGCACAACGGGAACCTTCGGAGCAGGATCTCGCGTGAGTGCCACTGCCGTCGTGTCTTGTTCTTCGGTCGCTCTCGTCGTCGTCGTCGCCGCCGCATCGTTGATGTCCATCCAAGGGATCATACATACATAGCTGACGCTTGTTCTTCGTTGATTCAGAGGGGACCGAAGGGAGGAAGCTCCCCTGGGTGCAGAGGATCTCGGCGGCCATCGGCGTGGCCAAGGGCATCCAGTTCCTGCACGGGGGCATCATGCCGGGCCTCTTCGCCAACAACCTCAAGATCACCAACATCCTCCTGGACCAGAACCTCGTCGCCAAGATCGGCAGCTACAACATCCCCATCCTCTCCGAGACCGCCAAATCCGAGGTAAATAAAAGCACATTCCTGTCTCTGAACAATGTATGTAGGTATAAAGAGATCACTGGCTGTGGCATGAACTAACGTCGCTTAATTTCGTGCCATCTTTTTTGTAGGGAGGAGGAGGAAGCAAGTATCCATCTGACAGGTACGTACGTAAAGGTTTCTATCGCCAGTTCTGAACATAAACATGATGGATCGATCTTGTTAACGATTGTTCTTTGAAAAAAAAAACCCAATTTTGCAGGGTGCCCAACGGCGACAAGATCGACATCTACGACTTCGGCGTGATCCTGCTGGAGGTCGTAACCGGGAGGCCCATCACGTCCATACACGAGGTGGAGATCATGAAGGAGCAGGTGATGATCACCACATTCACTGGTCAATTGTTCCATGGCCAGCTGACTGAACCACTGAACCTGAACTCGCTCGGCATTGTGTAAATACGTGTGCAGCTGCAGTCGGCGCTGACGTCGGAGAGCCCGGGGCGGCGGCGGGTGCTGGTGGACCAGGCGGTGAGCCGGGCGTGCTTGGACGAGTCGGCGCGGACGGTGATGGAGATCTGCCTGCGCTGCCTGGCCAAGGAGCCCGCGCAGCGGCCGTCCGTGGAGGACGTGCTGTGGAACCTGCAGTTCGCGGCGCAGGTGCAGGACGACTGGCGCGGGGACTCACGGAGCACCACCAGCGAGGAGTCGCCGTTGTCGCCGTCGCAGATCCCCAGGGACCCCATCATCACCAGGACGGACGCCTACGCCTAGCCTATTAGGTGACCGCGATCCTTTCTTCCACTCCTCAAGTTTTCTTCTGTGCTACCTGGAACCATGATCAGCTTAAACAGGCTCTGAAACTGACATTGTATTTTGCGCGTGTTCTTGGACGTTTTTAGGTTGAGATTTGAGAAGAAGATGCGGCTGTTGTTGGGCGATCAGGCGGCGAGGCATGAAGCGAGATCTTCCGCTGTGAGGTGAGATTTTGTTGGTCAGCTCGTACTGCTGCGAGGAAGAATGGACGTGACAGAATAACGTGAGGCTTAAGTGTACAGCAGCTGCAGCTGAAGCTGGAACTTGCATATATATTGCTACCACTAGTCTACTAGTACCCCAGGATGTGTACAGGTCCCCTTTGGTTTGGCCTACTAGCACTGGTTTATTGCTTTCTTTATTGTCGGTCCTTGCTTCTTCAAATCCACCTTTTTCTTATTTTCTTATCTGTCCCTTGATTCATTCACTATATGGATCGTTTGACTATGTAAGCACAACTGTATTTATGTCAACCTTATTAGAGGTTTCAGACTTTCAGTAGGACCAAGCGTGACTTCTCGCAGCACATTTGGCTCTTTGCATTGCAAGATGGCATCACGAGTCAGAAGGCCAAACAGGCACACTGGCAAGTCGAGGACTAGTGAGTGCACTGTGCACTGCTCGCCAACAGTTCAATGCTGCGGCTGTGCCGTTGTCCAGACAGCAATGGCAGACAGCCACCGCAATCCTGAAATCGTGAAGGCCAGTGGTCCTCCGGCATACAGCGCCGACCACCCATCCTGTCATCATTACGTACGTCTTCGTCCCCATTGCGAGAATCGGGACAGGATCTCATCCTAGGCGTTGATTGTTACCCACCATGATCATGCGATCTTCAAATTTCAGGTGCGGAATGATCAGGATTTCAGGACACCACCTCAAGCAATGGAAAGAATTTGAATCTCATTTCCAGATCGACCTTGTCTGCCTTGCTGCCAACACAAGTGACCCAGAGAGCCGCAAGGCCAACTACCCTGGTCCAAGTTGAGTGTGCTCCATCTGTACCCGCGATAGATGCAGACCCCACAATGCAAGAGCAACAAGATTTCAGGGGTCCATCAAACAAACATTCCCACGCTATAATTTTTGTACATAAGCAGGATCCTTTTAATTCATGAGAAGCATAGGTCAACAACAACTGCTACATTACGACAGGGACAGGCCACCACCATGAGCAACAGGGGCTCTTGATCAGGGCAAAACCATGACGACAGACAGACTAGAAACCAATCACTGGGGTTCTTCAATGTTTCGACAAGCCTGGCGAACCAGAAACACAAGGAGGTTTTTTTTCACGATTTCTTATTGTGCCCTTTCGGGCACGATGAGCATCCTCCTGCACTAGTCGGCTGTCCAGCTCTGCTCCACAATCTCGCGGACTTTGCGGTTGTACTCCCGCTTGTTCTCGCTGAACAGTCTTGCGGCTTCTGAGTTTGCAGGGGAGTTTGGGTTTGGATCACACAGCAGGGACTGCAAAGCAAGTTCAGTGCTAGTTCAAATACAACAGCATATTATTGATACAACTTGCAGTCAGGAGTCATCGAAAGATGGAAGTGTGTGAATACTGAATTCTATAACGATAACATAAAAGTCTATCATTAAGATGGTTCTAGTTAACATCCTTCAACCAAGGTTTCAAACACTGCTACCATTCATAAGTATTTCAAACACTGCTATCCAGGACCAACGATTTGCAAACCAAATTAATTTGCAATCATTGTCCTATGCTTCTAGGTCCACAAGATAAAAAAAGGGGGCAGATCCAGTGCCGGAAGCTCCCACATGAGTGGGGTCTGGGGAAGGGAAAAACCGAGGCAAGCCTTCCCCTGCAAAATCTGCGGAGAGGCTGCTTCGAACCCGTGACCTGGTGACTCGGTGAGACAGCTCTCACCGCTGCACCAGGCCTGCCCTTCAAATTGTTCTAGGTCCACAAGATACCTTCATAATTTTGGGCTGTTAAACTAGTTCCAGCATTCTGTCAATTTTAAGTTAGAGGCAAGAAAACCTTTATCTACCGCATTATTTCACAAGAAGAATATATTTTATTTTATATGTAATACCAAATGTTGAACCATGTATCTTCCAACTTTCAGTACATAGGAGGTGAATTATAATGGCTATGAAAGAGCTAATCATGTGCATCATGCAAGATAAACTTGCAACTACTCCCTCCGTCCTAATATATAAGGCGTAACCACTTTTTATTCATGTCCCATAATATATAAGGCGTAACTCTCTCTAGACGAACGTACAACGATGCAGTAGTACTAGTGTTGAGAGAGAGAATTAAATATGTTCCTTGGTCTTTGAACTAGGGGTGGTTACACCTTATATATTGGGACGGACAGAGTATATGATAAGAGAAATTGCTGAACTGGAAGTGGAAGCTATAATATAAATACAAGCAGCTAGACAGTTTTCTACGTCTGAGCTATTACGAGAATAGATTTTAACACATTTATAATACTCTAAAACTTGATGCTGTAAAGTTAGCAATTAGCACTACACATGCATTTTTGCACCAAAAGTCCGCTCAGAAGTGCAAGGTACCTGAATAGAAGTCAAAATTGCAGCAACATCATATATAGGACTCCACTGGTTCTGTAGGATATCCAAGCAGATGCTTCCATCAGCATATACTGCATGAATAATAAAATGTTACACCACTTTCCACAAAATCAAAATTGAGATTGATGTTAACATGCACAAAGACGGAAATTGGGGATGAGGGAGTCAGCAAAAAAAAGGTAGGGAGGGAGAGAGAGATTACTATTTGGATGAAACATCCTAGAGACGAATCGAACAGTTGGTGGCTTGTTTGGGTAATCTTCTGTAAAGTGCAAAGTAAGCTTGAACGTGCCTATAGATGTTACATACAGTCAATAGTTAGTGAACTTTGCAATGCTAACATAATAGCACATAGCCATTTAAAAATCCCAGCATGCTATGGCTAGGGAAACCTCATTGACCTTATTGACACATGAAAATCAATAGAAGTCATGGCCTTAACATACTAGAAAAATAGACATTGAATTTTCAGCACACATTCAAAACGTTTCCCACATGTTTCAAGGTTATGTAAAACGAGTGAAACATCACAGCCGCAGTGTTGAATCAAGAAAAAACACGAACCTAACTGAAAGTCAATAAGAGAGTATCCCAGTATAAAAACAGCTTTCATAACTTCTGAGGATAATCCATTAAATTCAATTTCATTAATCACGTATGTCTCTTTGCGAGTGGTTCTTAACAATATGACACTGCAACAAAAGGATGTACAAACAATTCCCAGATACAATATACTTTACATATAAAGTAACAGGGTCAGATTGCTGTAGCACAGAGAGAGTATATTAAGACATTAAATCATGCTAGACTAGCTTGCACATATAAACAAGTTGGAGGTTAAAGTTGATTCCTTGTAACCATAAAATGACTAAAGCAGGTGGTAAAGATCTACAAACTCCAGGTTGGAGGTTTAACCATGCAACTCAACCAGGAAATAAATATCGCTTGATCTAGAAAGATCAGTACCAAACCTGATCCGGTAAAGTGACTCTAGTTTTCGCCTGTATTTTTTTTTTTTAAACAAAAGGCAGGAGCTCTGCCGCTCAATTAAGCCGAGAGAATATTATGTACAAGAAGGTTAGCAGGACGAGATGCCAGAAAGGCACCCGAAGGGCTAACCACCCCACGCGACGCAGCTGAGCACAAACACGACACACTGCCATGGGTCATCGTTGCCGACCATGGAAGCCAAGCTGCCAGCAGCTCCGACTTCCCATGGCAGGCCACCCACTAGTCACCTCCCGACGGGTCTGAAGCTAATGGCCGCAACCGGTCATCGTTGCCAAGCTCAAGCACCGAAGAGCAGCTCCGACTTCCAAACGCAAACCATCGCCCCGCATCGATACCGTGACAATAATCCAAATGCGACGCCTTCAGGAAGGGAGTGACGATAATGGCGTCACCGGCGCACGTCCAAAGTGGACTGAGTTTTCACCCTTGGAAGACATGCTAGGGGAAATACGACGCCCCTAACAGGAAGCGGCGTAGCGGCGTCTGCGTCGCCAAGGCTTTCGCCCAAGAACCCTCTAGCACACACTCACGGTCGCGACGCGCGGAACCTTCACCGCCATCGCCGTTGTCCCGGCGTACGGAAGCCCCTTAAGAGGGCATCGACGCGCGCCGCACGTAGCGCCGCCACCCCTCCGGCCCGGCCACGCAGAGCGGACGACTCTGCGCTCGTCACACACCACCGCACGCCGAGGCTGCATTTGACCAACGTCGTCGGCTCTGCACACCGCCGATGTCGTTGCCATCATCACCGCCAAGCATGTGCCCCACCATGTCGGGCTCGCCCCACGTCTGGGCCGCCGAATCCGGACGCCAGCCCGAATCGGCGCCCTACCGCCGACACCGACGCCTCCGTCTTGACCATAGCTGTAGACACCGTTCACCTTGGCCGCCAGACCGCCTGGGCCATGGTGGCGGGGCGGCAGAGGTCGCCGCCCGAGCACAACCCACCGAGAGCGCAGCGTAAGGCTATGAGGGAGGGACGGCGAGAAGAAAGCACCGCCCCAACGCATGCATGGGCCCGGCCCACATTGCCGCCGCCGCAGAACCGCCGCCGCCGCCAAGACAGATCCGCAGCACTGGGCCCGGATCGCCCCGGGCACCAGATCTGGCCGATCTGGCCCCGGATTGGCGGCCTCGGCCAGCCGCCGCCGCCGCCAAGAGAGGAGAAGGGGAACGCGAGAGAAGAAGACCTCGCCGCCGTCCCTGCGCAAGGCCAGACGGACACCACCGTCTTTGCGGCAAAGCCATGGCATAGCCACCTCGTCAACCTCCACGCCGGTCACGCATGGGGCGGACCCGCCACTTCTTTGCGGTGCACCGCCAACACGAGGAGGAGAGCCCGCCGCCACCATCACACCGGGCCAAGGCGTATGCCGGCA